AACTATACTACAAAGGTACAGTAATCAAGACAGTATGGTACTGGCACAAAAACAGAAATATAGATCAATGGAACAGGATAGAAAGCCCAGAGATAAACCCACGTACCTATGGTCACCTAGTTTATGACAAATGAGGCAAGAATATACAATGGAGAAAAGACAGCCTCTTCAATAAGTGCTGCTGGGAAAACTGGGTAGCTACATGTAAAAGAATGAAATTAGAGCACTCCCTAACACTATACACAAACATAAACTCAAAATGGATTAAAGACCTAAATGTAAGACCGGACAGTATAAAACTCTTAAAGGAAAACATAGGAAAAACATTCTTTGACGTAAACCACAGCAAGATCTTTTTTGACCCACCTCCTAGAGTAATGAAAATAAAAACAAAGATAAACAAATGGAACCTAATGAAACTTAAAAGCTTTTGCACAGCAAAGGAAACCATAAACAAGACAGCCCTCAGAATGGGAGAAAATATTTGCAAACGAAGCAACTGACAAAGGAGTAATCTCCAAAATATACAAACAGCTCATGCAGCTCAATATCAGAAAAACAAACAACCCAATTAAAAAATGGGCAGAAGACCTAAATAGACATTTCACCAAAGAAGACATACAGATGGCCAAGAGGCACATGAAAAGATGCTCAACATGACTAATGATTAGAGAAATGCAAATCAAAACTGCAATGAGGTTATCACCTCACACCAGTCAGAATAGTAGTCATCAAAAAATCTACAAACAATAAATGCTGGAGAGGGTGTGGAGAAAAGGGAACCCTCTTGCACTGTTGGTGGGAACATAAATTGATACAGCCACTATGGAGAACAGTATGGAGGTTCCTTAAAAAACTAAAAGTAGAACTACCATATGACCCAGCAATCCCACTACCAGGCATATACCCTGAGAAAACCATAATTCAAAAGGACGCATGGACCCCAATGTTCATTGCAACACTGTTTACAATAGCCAGGACATGGAAACAACCTAAATGTCCAACGACAGATGAATGGCTAAGGAAGATGTGGTACATCTATAAAATGGAATATTAGCCATAAAAAGGAATGAAATTAGGTCATTTGTAGAGACGTGGATGGACCTAGAGTCTTGTCATACAGAGTGAAGTAAGCCAGAAGAGGAAAACAAATATCGTATATTAACACATACATGTGGAATCTAGAAAAATGGTACGGATAAATCTATTTGCAGGGCAGGAGTAGAGACGTAGATGTAGAGAACGGACATGTGGACATGGCGGGGACGGGGAGGGTGGGACGAATTGGGAGATTAGGATTGACATATATACACTACCATGCGTAAAATAGATAGCTAGTGGGAACGTGCTATAAAGCACAGGAAGCTCAGCTTGGTGCTCTGTGACGACCTAGATGGGTGGGATGGGGGGCTGAGGGTGAGAGGGAGGTCTAAGAGGGAGGGGATACATGTATACATATAGCTGATTCACTTCATTGTACAGCAGAAAGTAACACAACATTGTAAAGCAATTATATCCCAATTTAAAAAAACTATAAAACCCTATGGAGAGTCACTTAAAAAAAATTAATGGAGAGAGAAACATGTTCATAGATTAAAAGTCAGTTTGGTAAGATGTCAGTTCACCCCAAAATTTATCTATAGATTGGCGAGGATATTAGTTGTTCATTTTTTTTTTTTTTAACTTAAGTTGATTGTGAAATTTACATGAAAGAGAAAAGGGTCTAAAAAAGCCTAACCCTTATACTCAAAAAAGCCTAACCCGGGGCTTCCCTGGTGGCGCAGTGGTTGAGAGTCCGCCTGCCGATGCAGGGGACACAGG